TACGTTATTCTGAAAAAACCCTAGTTTCTTACTTTCGAAACTCTTTCGTTCAGTACTTGATAAACTTTTGAAACAGTCAGTCTGGTAGAGTAAAGATTTCCCAACAAAATTAGATGTATTCTAACTTTTCACCATGTTTTCTGATAGAGTTATGATCATTTTGTTGGAAGTCTTTGAAAAAGTCACATTTGCGAGATACCGTCCAAAATGATCATAACTCTATCAAAAAACATAATGGAGAGCTGGGAGACATCTCCTTTTGTAGAGAAACCTTTACTTTATAAGCCTGACTGTTTCGAAAGTTTATCAACTACTGAATGGAAGAAAAAAACGTTTCGCAAGTGAAAAAGTAGGTTTTTTTCAGCGTAAAGTAACAAACTTTAAAAAATTTGTATCTCCTCAACGAAAGGTCTTGGAAAGCTGGAAGCGGTCTCACTTTGTAGAGGACACTCTACTCTATGATGCAGAACATTTAACTCAAAAATAAAAAATATTTCTAAAAGAGTCTAAAAAAAGAGGGGTTACCTTTAATTTTCTCTCACAGCACGCAACAGAATTTGATAATATATACACCACTAGATAACGGAAATCTTCCTCTACAAACCCACATATATCCCGTTTTGTGGTCAAAACATCATAGTCGCCTTTCAAGGCACAAAAAGTCGACGAATAACACACATATAATCCAAGAAACCAATTTATATGTTGCGCTTTTCGTAAACCATTGAATACCATTGATAATTTCCGCACCTTTTATGTAAAAACTTATTAACACTAGAATGCCCGAAAATTTTGAGGTGAGGGTGAGTAATATACCACCACCTCTTACCATACACCGTAAGAAATACCCAAATCTGTACTATGAAAAATTCGCGGTAATGTCGTTCGTGGAAATGTCGCTGTATTGTTTCTAATTCATCTCGTTGAGGACGCTCTTCGATAGCCTTGACCTTTTTCATCTTTCTGTTGGCCATTATTCTAATTAAAAAAATTGCAAATACTATAGAATTTATAACGAAATGAAGGACATACTAATACTGAATTATTCAATAGTTAATAGATTATATAATAATCCAATAACTCGAGAGAAACGAATCACAATATCTAGAGCAGAATTCATATCAGTTTATTGAACGGCATGCAGCTTCGAATGTCAGACTACTAAATATCATATCGAATTGCGTTGACTGTTGTTGTTCTTGTTTCCATTGTATTAATGTATCAAGATCATTAACATCGCATCGAAATATTTTGTCTTTGCTAAGAGCTAAACGAAGTTTATTCTCCCATTGTTTTTCATCAACATCTTTTGGACATATGGCTGTGAAATAGGATGTCCACTTGTGAGCATTTGGACTCTGATCGATCCAATCTCGAACAGCTTGCAAAGTAGCCGGTGTATAATCACAAAACCATATTTCATCAAAATACTGAGCCAAAAGAAATGACGGCCATAAATTGGAACCACCACCAAATTCCAAAGCTTTATTTCAAGAGCGACAAATGATGACATGGGAGGAGGGGCGTTGATCAAAAAGTGGCACCATGCTTCCACTATCTAAAACGAAGGAACAGATGATTAATCCTAAGGCTCTCGTAATACACCCAAATGCCATCCGGCTACCTAGACACTGGTTCTTCGGTTGAACACTAGACTATCCGGAATGTCCAATGCTTATTTAAGAGAAAAAAAGGAAGAAACCTAAATTTCTACAATATTCAACTAATAAAAGCGAAACATACTCAATATTGCATCCACACGCCATAATCACCTACCTCGGACCGTATTAGCGATTGCGTTTACTAACTGTAAATGAAGTTTCCTTTAATGATTTGAAACACGCTTCCTTCAATCAATTTAACATNTCCTCTCTACAAACTGGCAGTTTCTGGTGTAATTCGACACTCTCATGTCGATTTTCGAGAGACGTTTAATACACAAAATTCATAAATTTCCTATTTTTATACACTAACACTAGTAGTTCATCGTATCGTTCGTTGTATATCTTTACAGTAGGTGCACATTCATCACCTATTCGCACAAGGTTTCAAGATTCGACGTGTTACAACGTGTACCATCCTCTGTTTCCGTAGTTCACTTGAAAAATCATAAAAACAGCCAGTTTTCAAAGCTCGATTTTCTGTGGGCACTTATATTAGACAAGACTCGTATTTTTCGAAACCGCACAATGGTGGTAAATTATGTTTATTCCTATCCCCTAGTAGTTCACTATCACATCACGCAAAAGTGTCTGATATGATAATCATTAACCAGAATAGATAGATATTACACATTTTGGTGTGTCAATGTATTACAGTGATCAGTCCCCTTTTCTTTTCTGTTCTGAATTACCTATAGCATTCGTTGACTAGAGCGATCGTTATTGCCTCACTGCTTCGGATTTTACGTGTATTTGTGCAATGCTTGTTCTTTTGCTTGTTTTAGTCCTTGTAAGCGAACACTTTGTTTTGTCAGGATCGAATAAACAAAGGTACAACTTTTCAACCATCTCTCTTTTTACGTTTTTCAATACTGCCTGATGATTGCGCGTTTTACCGTAAAGAGTTTTGTTTCTGCAAAAAAACGCAGACGGCATTAATATGTATGATGTTAGGGGAGCCACGGAAATTTTTGCCTACGGATTTTTGCGGTAAAACGGACGCGAATTTCTGCAATTTTCTGTATTAAACGTCTCTCGAAAATCGACATGAGAGTGTCGAATTACACCAGAAACTGCCAGTTTGTAGAGAGGATCTGAGTGTGAACTATTAAAGATGCTCTCTCCGAATTGGCAAATTCTGTTTAATTCTACCGTAATTCTGCTATGGTACGATTCTAATAGAATTCAAGCCTGATTCTCTGAGTTCTATCACAACTGCATTAGCGCAAAACCGACTTTTTATACGGGGAACAGAATCGGTTCAAATTTTTTTTTCTGAAGAGCTTATTATGTGAATCGACGGGCAGCAAAATATCTCTTGATTCAAATCACTTTTCACATTTTGGCGCGAATACTAGCGCGTTTTAAGTGGCGCCACTATTC